CCAGACATACAGTCTCTACTTGCCTTCACTGTCGTTGCCCATATCCACATTCCTTCTACTATCACACCGGTCATATACACTTGACCTATACTGAGACATTCTCTGGATTACACACTCTTTTCATCTCACACACTTAATAACACTAAACCGTGTTCTTTGACAGGTGAAAGCGAGTCACGCCCCAGAGCCATTGAACTCGAAGATACAGAGGATATGAGATCCCAGAGTAATATGTCTGATCGCCTAGGCGTTGAAGTCGACTGCCACTCGCTCGGTTCAAACGAATGTCCGTCTATGGGCTCCAGCTTCTCGCCTTTGGAATCACCCACTCCTACCCCTACGAGCATCTACAGCCAAGGTTCACTTGCTTCTCCCAGCTGGCCAGAGAACGGGTCATACCCCGGCCACGCTTACGAGAGAGGTACCGGATCGACACCCATACGCGGCCACTTCCGTATCGCCAGTATGCCCTCGCACGAGAACATAGGTCTGCCACCATACAGCAGCCTGGATGGACAGGATCGCATGGCGGTGACGGATTTCCTGCCCTCGTATGACGAGAACGCGGATCAGTTCTGGCTCCCCTCGGATGTTCCCAAGACCTACGATCACCATGTCCATGGACTCCCATGCCCACCGGCCATGCACCAATATCCACCCATGCTTCGCAGCAACTACCGCCACCACGCCGCTCCGTATCTCCCTGAATCGGCCACCAACCCGTGCCTGTCGCGCCCCATTTTCCATCATCAACCCGAGCGCCTGCCACCATCATTGTCCATGAGCCATATGATGCCCTGGATGGGCCATACGGAGTCGATTGCGCCGGAGACCATTGCTCCGTCCCAAGTTGCACCGGTAACCCCTCCTCCATCCTACACGGATTTCTCCAACTCTATCAACACCTTCAAGACACACTCGCCGGCTACGCCCATCCGCTCGTGCTCTCTGGGCACTGTCTCTGGAGCGGACACACCCCTGAGCCGTCTCTCTGGCGGCGCTGGTGAATACATGGATGAATACCACCAGTCGCCTGTCTATCGAGATGCGTCAGGCGTTCGTTTGCAGCGGCAGCCTTCTCGCAAGATGGCGCGGAAGCAGTCTTCCAAGCAGAGCCTGTCACTAGAGAATCTGCCGTCCATCATCAAGCAGGTGCAGTTCAAGTGCAAAGAACCTGGCTGCAAGGGTCGCTTCAAGCGACAGGAGCATCTCAAGCGTCACATGAAGAGCCACTCCAAGGAGAAGCCGCATGTCTGCTGGGTTCCCGGCTGCCATCGAGCCTTTTCACGCAGTGATAACCTCAATGCCCATTACACCAAGACCCACAGCAAACGCGGAGGTCGCAACCGCTATGTGGCCACTTTGGATGAAACCAGTCCCGACTACAACCCAGACTACCGGGGGCCACTTACTGCTGACGGTCGCCCCATGCCCGGTGGGACGTTGGACGAGTCCATGCCTTCCCGCGAGATCAGCATGGAATGGGATGAGTAAAAAGAAAAATAGAAAAAAAAGAAAAGACAAAAGAACAAAAAAATTCCTTCAAAACGGATCGGAAGCTACAGGCAGACTACGAAGAGATTAATGGGTGGATCGGAACCATGATACCCTTGTGACGCAGTCAACACAAAGAATTTCCTTGAGTATTTTAGATGGGCACAGACATATAGGGTCCAAGAGACCCCGGTCGGCGCTTCGCGGCGTTATTTTTCCTTTTCCTCATTTTTATTTTTATCTTTTTCCCTCCGTTCCTGTTGTATAACACGCGTCCTGGGTTCGATTTCCTCGATTGGATGATGCATATTTATCACTATGTGTTTCTATCTCTATAATATGTCCTGTGGAGAGGCACGTCTGTCTTTTTTTGCACTGTTCTGTTGCTTTACTACAGATCCAGGCTGGGATAATTACAACATGACTTGGACGAGATCAGGAACAGGGCATACTGTGTGTTGGGACTGAGTGACTGGTTTGTTTGTGATCTGACTGATCTATTGAATGGCAACGTACGATATGAGATAATAATACTAGACATGGCTTACTGTTCGTTTCCAAAAATAAGCCTCGGTCTCGACCATCAAACTTTTGTCTCCATCCTCGAGTATCCTTTCTGGTCATGAGACGATATGGATGGTACATGATACGGAGGAGATACCTACACCAGGCCTTAGCGTATCTTCACAATTCGATCAGTCTGAAACCTTTTTCCTCATGCAATGATTCGCCAACGCGTGCCGTGGGTCTTAGACTATTTTAGATCGTCAGTACCTAAGAAAGACTGCGAAGACGATCCGATGGACAAATGACAAGGACAAATCGCAGGGAATGCCCAGCCAGGGGACCAAGCGGGCAGCACAGAAACATTGTCGAAGTTTGGAAGGTGGACACATCACATTCACATGCGGGGCATATATCTGGCTCTTTAGAGGTCAATGGTCAATGGTCAATGGCCATCTGAGATTTGTCCTGTAGGTATTACTTTCCACTCTGCATGCTTGTAGTCTATTTTCATGCCATTCCTGTGTAATCCATTATCCGGATCATTGACTATGAATGTTGGGACGACCCAATAATGACTCTGGCAGTAAGCACCTAAGTCCATATAAGCCATTGGAATCAGTACCCAGCTCTCTCTCCACATTCCAGTAACGGCAATGCTCCTATTGGCGGCATCTACTGCCTGAAGATCTCCCGACAGCGGAATGTACTTCTTGGTCCATGCTCACCTAGTGGGTAACCAGTAGTGTACCTAGCCTAGGAAGGAAGTACTTCAGGTGGGCTGTGGCTGTGGTAGTCATGCTAGCATACCTTGGAGCTATCTCAGACCCCGAGTTTAGTACCAGTATGGGTATGCACTATGCAGCCCAGATATCTTTGTACGACTACTACTCTCCTACTAGTGCTACTGCTACTGCTACTGCTACTGTTACTGCTACTGTTACTGCTCAACCGCTCATACTGTGGAGTGGATATGGTAGTGGGTACTACGAACGAGTAGTACGTAGTGTACCCGTACCACCTCAGTAAGTATGAACTATCTGCGGAAAACGAAGTCCATCCAGGAAATGATATTGCTGGATGCTGATCGGAATTACTTGGTAGTCAGTCCATGCCACTAGTGAAATTCCAGATTCCAGAAACCGGGAACGGAGCTGAGCTTAATATTAAGATAGTTGGTCAAGGCTAAGACTAAAACTAACAGACGATGGGATAGTTCCGTGGGCTGGACCAGACTAAGGTACCTTAGCTTATAATGTACGTGTCAAGGGCTTTGGTGAGGCGCGCTCTGGTGTTGAGCGTAATCCTGCATATCCATAGTACGTTCTAACTGATGAACACTTCTTTTGGAATTACGTGATTGGAATTTGGAGAGTACAGTTCTTGAGCTGTATGTAGTATGCTTCCTCACTTTGGGTCGAGACGGGATGTGGATGTGGATGTGTATGCATATGTTCAAAGTTGGCTGGCATGGCATGCACATGCTTCTTTGAGTGATTCGAAAGCTGACCGCTCGTTCGAATCCGCCAGAACTATTGATTTAGCCGGCAAGATGCGGTGACTTGATGTAATCCAGTACGTGAACCTCCTCGGAACGATCTCCCTTCGGGCCCAGGGGTTATACGATTATACCTCAGGTCATCCATGTGTTATAAACAAACCATTCCGAGTTGGGTTCGATGGACATTCATCTGCGAGACTACAATCGACACGCCTGCTAGTGTAGATTTATTAGTTGACTAAAGTAGTTCTGCTCCACAGCAGTCACTAAGGGTTAGGTATTGGCATCTCAACTTCCCCGTCGCTATGACCCTTTAGCGCACGAATATCTCTGATGACATATTCAAGGCTACTACGGTGTCGAAAAGGGAGAGCAGCAATTATACTCATACTTGAGACAGATTCAATGGTGCCTCGGCAATGGAGTACGGACAACGCAAAATTGCGCTCTCATGCTTTCAGGCAGCAATAATGGTAGGATATATCACCTCCACAGATCAACTTACCATGTCTTCAGCTGACAATGTGGCACAATGTCCTGCCTGGTCGCCGAACTCCACTAGCACATCATGTTCGACGTTACCCAAATATCGCAGCGATGGCTTGGACTAAGAAGCTTGTTGATCATGGCAGAGACATCAAAGCTCGGCCACGCTGAAGAAACGTATAGTGTACGTGATATCATATGCTGAACACTGGACTATTGGCCCAAGACTTGGATTGGACTCCGTACTGAGGCTCCAGAGGGGATCAGTATCAGATAGCGGTCAGTTGTCGGATCCCGTGGTGGGTTTGACTGTGGACTCAAAATGTGATCTGCTGCACTTGTAATGGACTCGTGATATATCTGGAGCATGGAATACTGGAAAGAATTGATTGACATTCGAAGTGGATGTTGTTGAGGTTTTGCTTTTGTGATGAGTTTCGTCAGCCTTCAAACCCTAGGCCAAAAAGGTGTCTAGGCGGCCTTTTCTAGCATAGTAGAAAGATAGGCATATTCTGGTTGACAAGTGAGGACAGTCAGATAGGGGCTAGTATAATTATAGCTAGTCATGCTGTCACTTAGTCATACGCATAAAAAATCACATGACCCTACTAGAGACACTAGTTTAAAGGCCACCACACAAAATCGTCTACCCGGTTTTTCATCAATCATCAACAACTCTGGGTGAGCTCAGATTTGAGCGCTCAAGTTTACCTACACGGAACACAAAGTATTGTTTCCAGATCTATCAGATTATCACATCAGGTGGAGTAGCTGCCAGTGAGCTCTAATGTCGGGCTCATGACGACTATTCCATCAATCATTTTCCCAGACAATGATGACATACCTTCTTTGGCACGAGGCAGCGAAAACTGCAGTGGGTGACCAAATACCATATCAAGCTCAACAGTCTGAGTCTGGATGAATTTTTTTTATTGCTGTGCTTGCCAGATAGTACCGCGACCCTGCTTCCTTGATGATACAGTCCATAGCTCGCACAACCCTGACAAAATCAAAATCAACTAAGATCTAATCCGAGAAACAGAGTCCCTTCCAGGGGCGTCTCGTAGTATGCCTGTGTTTCGAGAAACCCAGCACGTCTATAAAGTTGTTGCGCCCCAGTCATGGACGGCAGCGTATCGAGTCTCATTTCACGATACCCCAGTTCTTTGGCCCTCTGGATGATTGCATCCACGAGAGCCTTTCCGAGACCCATTCCCCGGGCTTCAGGTGCCACATACAGTCGCTTCATCTCGCAGCAAGACCAGACTTCATTTTGGGGTTGCGCGGTTTCGTGCCCTTTGTTGACGAGTGGACGAACAGCCACACAACCAAGGGCAATCTTAGGATCAGTTCCGTAAGCTAGCAGTAACGCTCCGTGCGAAGTACCGTACTGGGTAGGTAGGTTCTGTAGTTCGGATTCGAAGCTCTGGAAGGTGAGGTCGATACCGAGCGATTCAGCATAAGCCCTGAATAAGGTCCTAGCTGTCTCAAAGTCTTCGGCAGTTTGAGCTGGGACGATCTGGAAGCCGCTATGGGGAGCCATGAGGCAGGAAAATGAAGTAAGTTGAGATATCCTGCAAATACTGGGCTCGATGTCAGAGAGAACTTGGCCGGTTACAGCTCTCTCATACTATCCCGGACCAGATGCGAGTTGACATGTCGGTGAGCCGGTATCGGATCGCCCTATGACTCAGTTAGATGGCCAAGTTGGCAGGGTAGATAACCCACGGTATAGGTGCGGATATCGTCGCACCAGCCAGAGGGTGACATAGGATAGATAATCGTCTAGATCTAAGCTGTATGATTGATGATGATGCCCAGGTGGAAAGGGCAAACATGCTTGCTGGCCTCAGGCGCCCAGGCTAGCACCGCTCGCATTCAAGTCGATCCGACTCGGTTCTGTAAACAATCTGACCTCAATCATAACCCACCAACGCTTTTCAACATCGGTACCCTTATTATCTCAATGGCTGATGGCTCCAAATCAATTCGGCTACAAGTTCGCTATGTAGGAGTTGAATTCCATCCTCAGCGACCGCACCTTAGTCGATATCGGTCATTCTATGGAATACTTCGATCCAGCCACTGAATGGATCATAAAGCAGATTGAACTCCTCTACGCTAGGTCCGACCGATAGCAAACCTGCCGTCTTCTTCCGAGAGCTGCTTGCCTCGTTTACTCCAATCTTTCTTACACATGGGCTGTTCCCTGGCGCTTTCATCCAAACGGATTTGCAAGGAAATATGTGCAGTCGAAGCAACGTTCTGACCCTCTGATACACAGCGGTGGAGTCGAAGAAATCCAGATCAGCGATCATCAACATTATCAAAATATACTGGCCACTCCTTTTCGGTTCCTGATTCAACCCCGAAGGCCTCCCGTCGGCTAAGTGACAGTCCGGCAACTGCAAATTCGAACTAGACCATGCGATTGGACGGACTCTATCTGATCGACCCCCCGCCTCGACAAGGATGGCAACAAAATCAAGAATAAACGGAGCTCGACGGCGACGTCCGATTGCTTGTCGCTGCGTTGATCTGTGTTCCTGAATCCGAGGTAATCTCCGCCGTCAAATCAGCGGCGTGTTATTAGTACATGTGCTGCTATACAACGCTTGGCAATACGAAGCGATGCTCCATAGTTAATCCAGTTGTGTCGTATCTGAGGCGAGCGTCTTCAACCTGGAAAAATTGCCTATATAAGCCGAGCCTTCCGTCTTTGACCTCTGCTCGTTCTCGCCCCTAACTTCTTCCACCGTGTCAACCTGTCGACCGTGCTCAAGATGCCCGCAACCCATTTCCCCTCGATGGGCAAGCTCGCCCTGGGTGCAATGCACCTTGCGTCTGGTTTTCATAACCACAATCTTCAGACCTGCCCAGGGAACATCCCAGTAAGCTGCAGCAATACGACCGCGGTTCCTGACTCTTGCTGCTTCAATCATCCCGGAGGATCGCTCCTCTTGACTCAATTCTGGGACACCAATCCAGCTACCGGTCCTTCAGACTCCTGGACTGTTCACGGACTTTGGTATGCATGAGCAGAAAATAAATCCTACGACATGGCCACTAACAATTGACTCAGGCCCGACAACTGTGACGGCACGTACGAACAGTTCTGCGATTCTTCTCGCGAGTATTCGAACATCACGGAGATCCTCCAGGCGCAGGGTAGGACCCAGCTGCTGTCCTACATGCAAACCTACTGGAAGGACTACCAAGGTGATGACGAGAGCTTCTGGGAGCACGAGTGGAACAAGCATGGTTCGTTTGTGCCGATCTGACAATTTCGACCAGACACTTAACGGTGATACAGGCACTTGCATCAACACCATCGAGCCCAGCTGCTATAGCGACTACAAGCCCCAGGAAGAGGTCGGTGATTATTTCCAGAAGGCTGTCGATCTTTTCAAGGGCCTCAATACGTACAAGGTATGCATCAGACATTGAGGTACTATGATACAGAGGTTAACGGGCCAAGGCTCTTGCCGCTGCTGGCATCACTCCCAGTTCGTCCAAGACCTACAAATTGAGCGACATCCTGTCCGCTCTGTCTGCAATCACCGGCCATGAGCCCTCGGTCGGTTGCAGTAAGGGCGAGCTGAATGAAGCTTGGTACTTCTTCAACGTCAAGGGCAATCTCATCAATGGCAAATACGTGCCTATTGATCCGCGTATGTTGTCCGTTCATCTCAGTTCCATAGACGCCAGCTAACATAAAATAACTATAGTCTCATCTTCTACCTGCCCCTCCTCTGGCATTAGATACTTGCCCAAGCCTGCCAGCGGCGGCCATAATGCCACACGTCCAGCTTGGAAGTTTGGGGGAAAGGAGGGAAAGCACGTTGTTCGCCATGACTGAGCGTTCTGTTGAATGGAGAGAAAGGCTGCGAATGAATGGAGTTAAGGGTCCTCGAAGGATCTCGCAACGACAGACATATCCATAAGCGCCGCGATCCTCATATCGCGGCCAGTCTGTACATTTACTGAACATAACGATGCGGCTAGAATGCTGACGGCTCCGAATGGGGTTTGCCAGAGCCGAACAGCTCCACCTGCGATTGTACCCTGCACAATTCCCACGAGCCTTGGCGCACCATTATGTCCTCGTATGTAACAGCACGCCTTCTAAGCGTCGACGAGTAGATGTCCGCTGTTCGTATCATATGTGCTCGTAGCAACGCAGGATCGAGGAGATCTGCAAACCTCCCAAGTGCACCTGCCTGCTGCCTACCATGCTTGCTGCGGTAATCATCCGTAGAAGTCGGGTTGTGGGGCGAAGCAGAACGGCGCGCCAATTGTGGGTAGCATCGTATCTCGAAACCGCCAGAGGGAAAGTGATAGGCAACTTGATACTTCCGAGCTGCCATGCCGCGATGCCCTGGCACACACAAGTTGTAAGAGGGCTGGTGTAAGAGTGCAGACACTCAAACGTCTCACAATCCCTTCAACCGCGCGTTTCTTCGTTCCTCCTCCCGCTTGGCAACAACGCGATCCAAGAAATCCATGCGGCCAAGGAACCCTTCCTTGGCTTTGCTGTGTACCTTGAGCTCGTCCTTGATGCCGGCCTGGTCCACATACGCAGCCCAGTCCAGCCGAGACTTTTCCACGGTGTTGATCTTCGGTCCGCTAGCGTTCTCTGTCTGACCAGTGATCTCGGTAGTAGGTTGCTTCTCCCAGCTCTTCTTGATTGTCCCGGTGGGATTAGGATCAAAGCGCGAGATCTTGCGGAGGGGTCTGCGGAGCTTGAGCGCGTCCTTTGCGTTCGCGGCGTGTTCGACATCGGCCTCTGTGACGGTCTCAGCGCTCTCGCCGTTCGCGAGGAAAAGCTTCGCTTCGGCAGAGTCTTTGGGGACGATTTTCTCTTCGGTGATGACTTCGCCGGCGAACTTGTAGGTCCGTTTGATCTTTACCATCTCCACCGTATACTGAGGTTTCGTATCCGGCGAGGGGACCTGTTTTTCGGTGGTATCGGTGTCCTTGTTTTCGTCGTTCATAGGGGTGGCGTCCTTTGCTTGGGTCTGCGAAGGGAGAATGCCTCCACCAGAATCAGAGGCATTCATTTGAGCCCATATTGCATCAACGTCAACCGTAGCACCGTCAATCTTGGCCAGGGGCTTCCGCTCTTCCTGCCTGTCAAGAAGTAAATGTTAGTCATCCGGAAGTAGGGACAGCTCCGTGCAAAAGCTCAACGCACATTCGCATCCTCATTGCTCGCGTCCGTACAAAGCCACCTGGACCACCTTCATCCTCGTCATCGAAATCCACGTCGTCCTCGTCCTCATCGCTGGCTGTGGCCTGTGACTTCTTCCCTTTTTGCTTGCCCTCCTTTCTCGCCTTTACTTTCTGGATCATCGCCTCATCGCCGGAGTCGAGTTCTCTTTCTTCGATGGCTGCCTTGTTAGGCCCTGTTTTGCGCCTTTTCGCTGCTGGTGCTGTCGCCTCATCGTCGCTATCGGAGCCGGTCAAGTCGGCATCTTCTTGATCAGGATCGAGCTGAAAATCTTCATCTTCGGCGGAGTCGTACTGTTCGTTATCAAAGTCCAAGTCGGCCACAGTGGCCGCGGGTTCGGAAGCCATCTTGTTCTCTATTCTGGCCTCTTGGAAGAGATCGAGATGAAAGCGACGGAGGCGCGACAAGCAGAAATGCACCAGCGGATTCTGCCAGGGCGGTGTGTGCGATAACTGACTGACCAGTTGGCGGACAGTGATGACCAATCAGGGATCAGTCTTTGGAGAGGCCGAGGATGTTTCCTTAACTGTGATTCCACATCATCTTCCAACGTGTACTCTCCTACTAAATAAAATGTGTCGTTGGCCGTAACCATCTCAACCAGAAGATGATCAGACTAGAGGGGCAAAGATGGATGCCAGAAATGATGCACGCGAATGGGAGAAGGAACGACATGAACAGCAAGGCCTACAGTTTCAGAATGACTCTGTTAGTTGGGACTTCAGAGAGAGTCCGCAGTCTGTTCCGTCAATGACTAGATTCGCAAACTCATCCACAGAGCATGAGTATGCGTCGAAGAGTCCGATTTTAGGTAGCTCACGGCTCTTCTATTTGGACTTGTCAGAGGTATTGACTTTAGACAGTTGATCACCTGGATCCTCTTGACGTGGACATACTGAATCAGCGACATGCCTTTGATCTACCTTCGCAGGCTGTCTGTGATGTTCTCGTGGACGTGTTCTTCAAGTGGATCGCACCAGTGTTGCCCGTGATCAATCGACACGACTTCATGCGTCGATATCGTAACCCTCAGGACCCTCCGTCAATCCTCTTACTTCAAGCCGTACTCATGGTAGCGTCAAGGTTCCACCATGATGCCCAGAGTACTGGAAATGGCGTAATCTCTCCGCGCATCTTCTACAAGAAAGTGAAAGCTTTGTATGATGCTGGGTACGAGGGAGATCCTACCACAGTCCTCCAAGCTGTAGTCTTACTGGGCGTATACTGGGATGGCCCTGATGGTAGGGTATTGCCCTGCGCGTTGATCTGTATTTTGTTGACGAGCTATAGATCTCACGGAAAGTGGCATATTCTACTGGAGTCGTCTGGGAATAGCTTTGGCTCAGGAACACGGGCTTCATCAGAGGTAAAAGCCACCCGGTACCGTACTCTTGAGATCTTTGAGATCTAATTCCAATCCAATTGCAGTGAGAGCTACGTGACACTGTCTGCTACGAAGAGAAGGGTCTGGAAGCGGATATGGTGGACACTGTACACACGCGATCGATCGGTTGCTGCAGCATTCGGCCGTCCTCTTCATATCAATTCCGAAGATTGCACTGTGGAAGATCTGAGAGAAAGCGACTTTATTGAGTATGATGAGAATGATAGCGTAACAGATCGTACAGCAGCCCTCTTTTTTATGCAGTACGTGAAACTCTGCCAACTAATGGACCTTGGCCTGTGCTTGAAGCTGTCTTCCAGGTCGACGGAGGACAGTCGGATGAAGGGGGCTGCGCAATGCGAACTTGGTCTGAATGACTGGCTCGTCTCTTGTCCCTCTGAGCTTCAGTGGAGACAGTCACGTCATAACTTTTGGTCAGCGATACTGTATTCGACCTTCTAGTGAGTTTGAACAGGAACACTGGAGAGACTGTGAGCTGAACTTCGGGCAGTACCATTGTGTGCCAGTTACATCTTCTGCAAACTCCCGACTCATCAAAGGAAGCCCAAAGCTCAGCTTTTCATGCTGCCACAAGTATCGTATCTATCCTGGAAACCTTGCAGTCTAGGGGCGAGCTAAAGTACACACCATCATTCATGTAAGTCTGGACTTTTCCAGTGTGCCACTACCGGTGAGCTTACCTGTTAGAATCTGCCACGCCGTTGTGTCTTTCGTCACACTGAGAAGCCAAATGGAAGCCTCAATACCGTCACTCCTACATGCCATCCGACAAAATCTGGAAGCCAACCTAGACATGCTCCAAGTACTTTCTCATACATGGCCCATTGCGGCAATGTTTGTAGAACTTTTTCGCACTATGACTGGTCCGGAACAGTTTGAGCGAAAGTTATCTGTCGCCGCAGAGAAGTGCCGGAAACGTGCACGTGGGGAGGAGAACGACGATTCCACTCCCTCGAGGTCCTCGGCGCGTTTCAAAAGGCCTAAGGTACAGCAGGTAATTCTACCACAAACTAGGGTCGTCCTTCAGATTCTGCAAAGGGAAACTCAGAGGCAATCTAACTCGCAAGGCACACTCCACAACAAGTTGAATACAAGGGTCGAAAGTATGCCATCTGGCGACCATCCAGATCAGAACCGTTCTTCACCTGTGACCGAGGTTGATCCACTGCTTGAGGACTGTGACGCTACAGCCATATTACGGAGCTTACGGAGAATAATCGACGCTGGTAACACCACTCCCCATGATTCTCGATCAGACGACGTATCATGATTCTCTTTCAAGTACACGGCGGACGCTTTATCAATGTGCAACGTCACGTCCGCCATGAGAACGAGTATATAACTCCTCATCCACAGACTTTACTTCAAATCGTCGTGGGGCATCCAACCATGTTTGAGGTGCGATTATAGGCGTCGTGGATTCTACTGGACGCTCTCTGTGAGACTTGAAGAGACTACAAACAGCGGAGCTTCATTAAACTCTCTCAGCCAAGACCTATAATCAAGCCGCTCAACGGCGTGAAGTAGGCTGAGTCTATAGGAGCCGAGATCTACCCTGTATAGATTATCATCTACTAAAGATTGATGATCCGCGACCTCCAGGAAGGAGCGTACATTGATGTTCTGGCAATATTGCCTGTTAATATGCAGAGGACATTGTTTCGCAGATGAGTGTTCATCGTAAAGAGACAAAAAACCAACCCAGTCTTGATGCTTTGACTCAGTCTTGAAGCTGCCAGCTGCGTGTTTCCCTTACTTTTCTCTCAGTTATCTGTGCCATTCACCATTGTTATATACTGTCTTTAAGATGCTACAGGATCCAAGTTTATATCACAGAGAGTAGGAAACCCCTCTTTAGAATAGGAGCCAGCACCCAGCAATAGATCGTTCTGATGGTCTAGCCTTATCTTGGCCACGGTTGATAATTAATCAATAAATCACCAGTGACCACAACGGGCCGACCCGCGCTCGGTGGTTTCGGAGTTGAGGACTTACAACCTACCGAGGATGTGGAGGGCACCGACCTTTCTATCGTGTCATACGCTATTTGAACATGAGACCGACCTGAATTTCTAATCTCAACTTCCTTCATTTACAGGCGACGGAAAGACACAAAATGACATCAAACAACCCAGTCGCTCTCGTCGTGGGTGCTTCCCGCGGTATCGGCAGGCAGATTGCCATAGACCTAGCCAAGAATGGCTACAAAGGTATGCTGAGATCACGGCACATCTTTAATCAAGACACTGACACTATTCCAGTCGTCGTGGCGGCAAAGACCACCTCCGACGCCTATGCAACTGTCCCCTTCCCACCGGATCCGAACTCCTCGCAGTCAACCATCAACACCGTCGAGCGAGAGATCAAAGAATCTGGTGGCGAAGCGTTCGCCCTCCCAGTAGACGTCCGCGATGTGAAGCAAGTCGAGAATCTTGTTCACGAGGCGGTTCGCCTAGCAGGCCGCCTTGATGTCCTAGTCTACAATTCCGGGGCGATCTGGTGGTCCTCCGTGGCGAATACGCCCACCAAGCGGTTCCAGCTCATGCAGAGAGTGAACCCAGAGGGTCTGTATGCCAGTGTGCAGGCGGCATTGCCGTACTTTGAAAAGAATGGGTGGAAGGGACGGATCATTGTTGTCTCGCCGCCGATCTACTCGCGGTTCTTTCGGGGGAAGACTGCTTATGCCATGGGTATATTTTTTATCTTCCCTGCTTTCATCGCGAGAGAAATGTGTGTGGCTAATATTGGCACAGGCAAGGTGGGAATGAGCGTCCTGACCAAGGGTCTAGCTATGGACTTTGTCAGACAGGGGGCAAAGGATATGGCCATCACCAGTATCTGGCCTGCAGTGGTACGTTTCTTGACCGTTCTGCTATCCCATGTACTCACTTTCTTTTCCAGTCCATCGAATCAGCTGCCACGGAGGCGACTACAAATGAAGATCCTAGCCGGAAAGCTGATCTCAGGAAACCCGTGAGTAGACCCTTTCGCGCTGAAACATATCGCTAAGACAAGTAGACGATCTTCTCCGACGCTATTCTGGGGATTTTGAACAACCCCACAGACATCGTAAATGGCCAGTTGGTTCTCGATGAGGACTTTTTGCGCGACCATTGCGGTGTTTCTGACTTCTCCAAGTATGCTGTTGTTCCTGGATCTCAGCCACGGCGGATTATGCCTAAGGAGTTGCCCGTCCTTGAGGTGGCGGAGCAGGATGACGAGGGTATGCGGGTGGATAGCACGAAGCTGAGAAAGGCCAAGCTGTGATTCCATCCTACTTTAGCATACAACTTATTCTATGTTCAGCAAGTAGCAAATCATATGGCGTTCGTACCGTTCAACATATTAAAGGCACTCCAGCACTTTGAAGACACCTGGTCCACCCCTATACTACTTGCGAAGGTACATAGGCAGTGATATGATGAATACAATCTACAAGTTGGATTCCAGCCTTCAATAACATTCCAAGAAAAGCTTTCCATCAAGCTCATAGATCAAGCTTGATATACAGTAGCCAGACATGTTTCCGTGAATCATTTACAACTTCGCCCTCCCCTCAACCTTCAATCTCAAATCCTCATGCGGCAACTCCAAGAAATCCCACATGAAATGAAAACGATCACTCCCAAAAAATGGCTCCGATTTCCCCTCGCCATTAGTCACCCAGAACCACGGGCACCCAAACGCCCCTAGCTCCTTGACAACCCTCTCCGTCGTCGCCGTAAGCTCGTTCTTGATCTCGGGGCTCGCCGCCGCAGCCAGAATCTCCTCAACCTCAGCGCCTGAGAATGCCTTCGCTAAGGCCTTGGCTAGATTCTCCGGCTTGGAGATATCCAGCTGACCATTCCACATCGTCTCGAAGCAGGTGAGGAATGCCGGGGCGAGTTTGTGCGCGTGCTGGCGCTTGATGTATGTGAGTGCTCGTTGAGGCTATTCGCACAGCATCAGTTTCTCTTCCTTTCCTTTCAATGGCAGAGGGAATGTAAATGTACCAGAAGCGAGAGGATAGGGAAGAACGCGGGTACTTCAAAGTCGTGCCCGAAGTACTTTTGGGCGCGTTTGCCGTCGTACGTCGAGTAGGCGGCTTTGGCGGGGAGAGTCCAGGGGGGTTTGTTTCCTTTTGCTGGTCAAAATACATTGCAAGAGTACGTAATAGGGAATGTTTGAATAATAAGCGTACCGCTTCCTACGTTGATGCCTCCCAGGAAGACGGGGATGTATCTGCGCCATGTGAGTGTGTTTGCGAGAGAGGTGAAAGGGGAGGGCCTCGTACTCGATTTCTACGCCTAGCGAGGCGAGCGCGTCTGCATTTTGTTGGAGATACGAGAAGGCGTAGAAGCTGTAGGGTGATACTAGATTTGTTAGCATTGATGAGGCACCGTGTAGGTTGATGAGGGATGCCTGGGACGAACCACAGTCAAGGTAACATTCGATTTTCTTGCCCATGGTGTAAGACGGCGCTCGCTTCTACTAAACTGACAGGTTCGAATGGTGCAATTTGATTATTGCATTCATGATTCCTTATTAACTTTAAATGATAATGAGCATGTGGGGAGCCGAGGATGATGGCTTACCCCAGGGCCCAGACGACGTAAGATCCGACCCGCCGTCGGCTTCTCGAAATGTTGATTATGTGTTCAGTAAATTTGAAGAACAGGCGAAAACCAATGTAAAATTAACTAAATATTGTAGGAAATCCGACTCAGATCAATCATGGCTTACCAGACCACTGACAAAAAAAAAAAAAAAAGAAAAAGAAAAAAAATCTTACCCAAGAAGTACTGCAGAACGACAACTCGCCCAAGTTAAGTTGAGCATATCACACCCTGTTTGAATCCTTCGTCAAAACAGTCTCCTTCTCCACTTGGGCTCCAAAACTCCTCTGCCTGGACACGTTCCGCTCAAGCCAGACTCCAAATGCACCGACCGCGCCTCCGACAACCTCCAGCCCGATCAACAGAGCCAGAAGCACAAATCCTGCCCGAGTTTCACTACAATCCCGCTCAAAATGCGTCGGTGCATGTAATGAAGCATTCTCGCTCGAGGTGACGCTCCGCATGGCCTTCCACTTGCATGTCCACGAGTGCAGTGTCTCATTGTGCGAAAATCCACCCGGATACGTGGATTGCGGGAGATAGATCGCGAATGCCAGTCCGACTGCCGCAGCGATGAGACCCGCGACTGCCGTTCCCGAGGCGACGATGTTGAGACGCCGGATGTGGGAATGGGGCTGGCTATGTCAGTATGTTTTCACGATTACTCGTTAGCCAGGCGACTCACGGAAGGGATGAGGACGGCGACGATATAGACGAGATTGAGGACTGCGATGACGCAGCCACTAGACAGAATAGCGATCGTTGGTCGAAGATCAAAGTTCAATGGCCACAGGGCCAGTCCTGCTTCTTCGTACCCAGAGGTGCTCCGATAGTGCTGGAAGGGTACGGCTTCGCAGCCGATGATTGCAAGGGCAGAGCCGAAGCAGACCACGGACAGAGCGAGCTGGGCCCAGCGCAGATGGTGATATCTTTTGAGAAAGGTTGATTCTTCGTGGTCAGAAGCACAGGAGACGGTGTATGAGGCTGCGGCTGAGCCTGGATGGGACAATCCGGCATCCATTCTGAGAATTAGGAAGCAAAGTCAAGCAAAAGATGGATCGTATCACTTCAGTAAATAGCAATAAATGAGTGAAAATGCAAGAAGTCTTTCCAGAAGACTAAAGTGAAAGTATTGAGCAAAGAACCAGGCAGTGTCCACCAGGGAGGCTACAACGTTGAGGAAACCTGAGGAATCAGCGCACATTTAAACATTATCACCCTCCATAAAACTATACAATTCTTGAACTCACTGACGAACTCGGGTCCGAGCCCATCCTCTTTTCCGTCGAAATGTCCTGCCATTAGCAGCCGCATTACTCTGTAGCCGCCGGGCTGATACAGACGATCCTCATTCGTCGGACCCTGACCTATAACACTGAATTCTGCAGAACTTCCGTGAAGAATCAGTCTGAAGTGAAATGAGAGTAGGGTCAATCTCAAACTCTCTTCCCCTGGCGCGTAGATACGTGGATAATGGTGTGACGGTTGTTGGGATTGGATGTTGAGAGCGCTGACCCTGAGCGCCACTGTTTTTGAACTCCAGGTAGAGAGCCCGGCGCTTCCCCAGTATCACATTGCGCGAAAGCAGTCCCCAGAATTATGAAGAGATATCTAACTGTGACTACAAGGGTAAGAAGTAGGGCTTGGTGAAAATAATGACATTGTTCAATATGCACACTAAAAATTACTGTCATGTAGAAATTCATAGGAAGGGGGAATCAATCAGAATCATCATCAAACAGTGGATAAGTGCACAGAAGAAACATTCAAATGTATCTTCCCAGCTTTTCGTGATGCATAAATCAGTCGTGGCCAGACACTCTTCGTCGCCAGTCTTCACCAGTGCGATGGACATCGACCACGTCAATCCGCTTGCCAATACCCGTCATTCCCTCCTTCTGCCACCACTTCTCACCCTTCTCGGCAAGTACTGATTCATCTTCACTGTCGACGAGGCCGCCTCGGCCGCCTTCGTCTCCAACTACAACCACAACCTGTCTGACCCAGCCAGAAATGTGTTGAACTGCATCGCCTTGCTTGCCTGTCAAGGACTCCTGGACGTAGACAATGTCGGGTGAAAGATGGCGCACAAGGTGCACGTATCCCGTCGCAGTGCTAAACGGCATGATGGTGTTCTCCTTGTCGACAATGGCCTGCGCCTGCGTGTATAGAGTGCGGAACAGCGGTGAGGTGCCTTCCTGCTCATCAGCTGGGCGAGGTTCGAGAGTGGACAGGTCGCCGCTAGGTGCTTCCCCAGGCGACCTGGCCTCCTCAGGAGCGATGTTAGAATAGGATGATGTGACGGAGAGAGTAGGATTGGATGAGCCGCCCTGGTTGGGTGCATGCTTTAGGCCTGGCGCATAAATGAGAACGAAGATCTTTGCGATCTCAGAGTCGACATGTTCAGGGAGGTGAGAAAGAATGGACTGTTCATAATTTGTCAGCGTAATCCATGACAACGAGCCCACAAGAACCTACCGCGTGCTCAGTGAAGTCATCAGGATCGTGATTTGCCAACTCGGAGGAGACCACAATCGCCACTGTCTTCTTCTTTTTGTCAAGAGCAGGAGAGCCGCTCACCGCGCTGCGAGTGGGAAGCGCCCCGCTCGTCGCCGGAGCTGCTGCGGCAGGTTGAGCATCTCCCTGATTAGCTCTCGACCGAACCTCTTCGGACCATCTCGAGTGATCCTCAAAGTCACCGCGATCCTCCTCACGTATTGATGTAAGAGCGCTGCCCATGAATGCGCCCGCCGCAGCCATACCAGCCGCGACCCGTTTACTGGCGCCATCGAAGATCTGCTGAGGGCTCGGTGTGCGCCGCAAAGCACCCTGCATACGAGCCATCATACCCACATCATCACCATGGATATCTGCCCCTGTCGACCTGGCATATCCGCCGTCAATGCCGGCTGGGGTGCCCTCAGCGCCCGGCGGGGGGTACCGGTCATCCCTCGAGTCGTCCAGTGGATATTCGCCTTCGTCATTATTATCGTCATCGTCACTTCGTTCGCTCCAAATCCACGCTGCTATGCCAATTGTTGCGATGCCGACCGTCAAAGCCAGCGGCACCCAGTACCCCATGACGGTCCGTCTCCCTGAGGAGCTGAAGCCGGTACCAGCTCCAACCCGCCGCCGACGAGCATCCTGGGAATATGGGAAAGACATTGCGGGCACTGAGAGATGATAGATGGCGGTCGCATACGGAGTAGAAGTCAATCCAATCGCGATGGTGTATAATGATCACATCTCAAGGTTGCATGAGAGGAAAAAGGGTGGTTGGTTAACGGAGCCGCAGAGGGAAAGAGAGAGCCCAAGGCTGGGCCTCGGACGAGCCGAGAAACATGTGGCTGGTGATGTCCTGGTTACCGCGGTGTCTGTCCCGCTTATTACCAGAATCTGACAGAATTACAGTACGGGTGGTACCTTACCTAAGGTACCTGACTAATGCGAGTAAATTGGTGTGTTTGCGTTGTTTATTTTGTTTGCTTCATGTTTATCAGCACGTGACAAAGCTCTCTTATCATGACTTAGGGCATCAACGTGTTTGGCTGATTTGCATCGACTTACTGAGCTATCGGCACGTGACGGCGGGATTTTGTTTAAACAAAAGATGGGTACAATCTTCCCATGCATATCAGGTTGAGTCAGAGGGCCGACGGAAAACAGCACCCTCGCTGACTTTGACGACTCGATATATATGATACCCTGAACACTCAGGCACTCTATTGGGTTGTGCGCGCTTGAGGTCAACCATCGCATCAGATAATACGACGAGCCATCCTCCCCTCTTCCCCGCGGTGATCCTTTCAACCCAATTATTCCACCATTGTATACCAATCCTACAATCGGGACGACTCGGTCAGTCATAGGAGCTCGTAAACCAAGAATTTCGCAATGCCGCACTCAATTCCTGTGCCCCCGACGGGGTTCCAGGCCCTCATTTTGTGCGGACCTGGCGTCTCTCTCAACACATTCACCTCCAATCCTGAAGAATTTCCCAAAGCATTGTTACCTATAGCGAATCGTCCTATGGTGTGGTATCCTCTGGATTGGTGCTATCGGATGGGCATAACAAGTGAGTAATTGCAAATCTACGTTGGGGATACGGACATGCGCCTGCCCTAATGTCGACCACCGGTACTCTGTTCTAACCAAAGTGAAGATATCACTCTTATCACACCCCCCGCCAGTCAAGCTCCATTAGAAGCTGCTCTCTCGCAAAATCCCCACCTCACATCTCTTCCGGCACCGTCACCTTCCGTTCTCGCTCCCGCAGGCCTCACCTTGACGACGGGTACCGCGGAGCTGCTGCGTCTCCCCGAAGTCCAGTCATGCATCAAGTCCGATTTCCTCCTTCTCCCCTGTGATCTCATTTGCGATTTACCAGGAGAATCCCTTATTGAGGCATGGATGGTCACCCAAAGCGCCCTGGGTGGGTCTACTATCAGCGGCGGCTGGAACTCCAATGGACCCAAGAGCATTGGAATGGGTGGTGAACAAGGCGGCCGCAGGGGTGGTCTCGGGGTTTACTATCAGACTAGGGGACGGGAAGAGAGCGTCAAGGGCGAGGTGACAGATTTTGTGGCTACCACACCGTTAGAGCAGGAGGAAGCACCAGCCGTCTCTCATAATTCGGACGGACCTGTTTCGATCCGGTATGGGCTGTCAAAGCTAGTGCTCTCGATACCTATGGATACACTGAAAGAACGGATGGAAGAGCAAAAAGGGCTCCTCATCCGTCATTCGCTGGTGAAGAAGCATGCGCAGGTGAAGATGTTGACGACCTACCGCGACGCCCATATCTACGTATTTCCTTACTGGGTCAAGGAGATGGCTGTGCTGAATGAAAACTTCGAGAGTGTCGGAGAGGATCTTGTCGGTTGGTGGGCCAAGGCTGAGTGGCAGAAGGGTCTAGCGGAGAAGCTTCGACTGCGCGAGATTTTCGAGCCAGAGGGACAGGGAGCCGCAGAAAGTGGCAGTCTGGACGGCGAGTATATCGAAGATGAAATTGATCTCAAAGCAATGAGCACCACCAAAGCGGGAGCCGGCACATCACGCGACGCTCTGTCAGACGATCCCTCAGAGACCGTGCAATTCGCCTCTCGGGTGAAGAGATCCGGTACTGATTTGAGCACCGCGTCGCGAGAGCCATCCAAAGGCAAGCTCACCGTGCCCCCGTTGCTGGCGTATGTTCACTCCTCGCTGCCATCTGCACCGCTGGTCAGGCGTGTGGATACATCGGCTCTGCTTCTATCCGTATCCCTCCGCCTTGCCAAACTCGAGTCGATCGAGGAGGTCGGCCGCATAGCCGCGTCGCCTTTCGCTCATAACCAAAAGGTCGCCTACCCGGCTGGCGTCGCTCAGCGATGCACGGTCACCAAGGCCGACTGCCTTCTCGCCGATAATGTCACGGTGGAGGAAAAGTGTGTCATCAAGGAATCCGTCATTGGCGCCAACTGTCACATCGCCAGCGGTGCCCGCTTGACGCGCTGTCTCATCATGGATGGCGCCGTGATCGGTGAACGCTGTCAGCTGACTGGCTGCATTGTGGGCCGACGGAGTCAGATTGGCCGCGAGAGTGTGCTCAAGGACTGCGAGATCCAAGATGGAAACATCGTCCCCGAGGAGACAGACGCGAAAAACGAAAAGTTTATGGTCTTCGAGGGTTTGGATGACGAGGACGGTGAAGGAATGGATGTTTCCGAAGAGTTTAGCGACGGCAACGACGAGCTAGGGTTTTGATTGACTTGTTACGAACTCTATGTTTTGATGTCCAATGACGGCATAGATGCTTGCCTTGACGATACCGCTACGCGTTATAGAAAAGAATTGATTGAGCCATTCTAATCTCCCGGGTATTCTCCACTCCTAGCCCGCTGTTGCGAAAAGCAATGGTATCATAGCCTTCCAACGCCGTAAAGGGGAAAACAAATCACCATGCGCCCGCGCATGGCTGCGGTAGTATGCTCGACAAACACACAGCGTCACTCCTCTCTCTTGTCCCTCCTGCGCTGGTGTTCTCCCCGCGCCAGCGGCGACTTCCCAATCGACACCATCGCCTGCCTTTTCTTCCCGTTCTTCCGCTGCGTGATCCGCCTCACGAGCATGGCACGCGGCATCTCATGCGTCTTTCGCGGCGCATGCACAGAGGACGGATCCACTGACTCCCCTCGCCGATTTCTTGCACTCCCCGCAAGAGCGCAAGACGAGCCGTGGCCCACTCCCATTGGTATCGCGACAGGGATAGGCGTATACGGCACTAGATCTGTCACTTGCAGCTGGTCGTGAGCTCCACTCCACTCCCGGCTCCCGTCACTGTCGCCGTCGTGGACAGCAAATTCGCTCGATTGTCCGGCTGCTAGCAGTTGCTGAGGTGCAACCGTAGGCGTAGGCGCTTGCTCGGTTTCAGTCTTCGGCACGGAACCGGACCTGGAGCCAGTCGAATAGTAATAGAATCCCGCTGAGGGGTGAACGTTCCGGCCCTCCCAGTTCAACCCGTCCCAGCTTGCTATCGCCGTCGGCGTGGAGTCATTTGACTCTGGGTGCCCGTCGTGCGCCTCTAGCTCTGAATTTGGTGCTGGAGTGAGGTCACACAGGTCATCCAGGTCTAGGTCCAGGTATAGGCTTAGGTCGAGAGCCTGGACGGCTAGCCGGGACTCCTCCGCCAAGGCGTCTAGGTATCCATCGCTTTGGTCATAGACTGCTCTTTCGGGACCGGGCTGGTCGAAGCGTTTGTGGTCACCGCGGGCGAAGAATCTGGCTACCATGTCTAGGAAGCCTGGTTGCGCGACGGAGACGTTGAGGATGGAGGCGAGTGTTTGTGCGGTTAGGAGACTCTGGTGGGTGGTGAGGATTTGTTTGCTTGGGGAGTATGCTTGCCTGCAGAGGGGGCAGGGCTCGCCGAGGAGGGCAGTTGATGTTGGTTCTGTGGCATGCGATGGGAGATCCTGGAAGGGACATGTGAGGGTCATGGGGATGAGGTGGTCACAGTTGTGCCAGAAGATGGAGATGTGGCACATCTTGCTGCGTAGAGATCCGTTGGAGAGGTGGTGAGCTGCCGATTAGGACTTGGGAGCTGAAGGAGGCTTGCTGGTAGTATTTGTATGCTCTTTGATGGCCGTGAGGTGGTCTTGAGATCATTGTGCGCTGCATCGTTGTTGAGGGTTGGTATCAGGTAGATAAAGGGAGGTCTTTGGCAGCCGGTGGACAAGGAGGTCACTGGGAGTGATGTGTTGCTGAAGATGAAGGGAGAGTGAAGTGTACCATGCTCTATTGTGTTTGTCTCTGTAGTTGAGGTTGCTTTGTCTCTGTCTGTTTCAGGTTCCGTCATGATTATTGTTCAGCGGTCATGACAATGAAATTGATGAAGCATATAGTCTGAGAGACGCGAGTGTCATGTCTTTGTCTCCAGTTTATTGATCACTCGACATTTGCATTGTTAGCCTGTCTGTCCGTATATTCGAATTTAGCATAAAGATGAACAGCCCATCATATCTTGAGGCATTGTTCAAGCTGACTGCATAACAGCACCAAAGATCTGTGAAAAGTGTGGTTCTGATCATGCTGTCTATGATGCTTTTGCTTAAGCATTCCACTTGCCTCAGTGCCATCCATATCTACAAGATGGATATTTCATCCAATCTCACGGTCTTCCCCTATATCTGCAAACATTGATGGGCACATTATTGGATATCTCAAGGCTACGGCATCATTGTCAGATATACAGTAGCAAAGATGTGCAACCTCCAGGACTGATGTAGTAAAAGATGACCATAAAGGTAATACAAACATCTACCTTCGTGACAGTGCTGCCCACCAACACCAAGCACGGTCGGGGTAGGGTGTCCTGGTCAAGCTTCAGCATGACAACGCCTTTCGAGCAAACTTACGCACATGCTAGCTCTTTTAGAAATCAAGCCAGCAGATCGAGTCTCTCTATTACATCACTTCCATGCTGACAGGAGGACATTCTAGAACCTCGAACGAATCAGTCTAGACTCGAACATCGGGTTGGCCAGGGTAGACCACTACATACGAGTAAGTACTGGGAGTATCAATCTTCTGACGATTGACTCGATCGACTCGGAAGTGCAATATTGATGCTGATGACGCTGTTCTCTGGAGTATGCATTCGATGCCCACATCACTGTTTCTGTTCTCTATTTTTAGAATAATGCATGTCTTATGTCGTACCAGAGTACGGGTATATTAGAGACGTACGCAATCCGAGACCTCATTTCATGTGAATATTCTGTGGTCTAATCTAAAGGAAATGCTTCTGATGCAGGTAAGACTCGATTTTCGTACGTCACTTTGTCAGAAACACTAAAGTTACTCTCCATCTACTGAAATAATAGGCTAGGAGTTGCTCCTGGTGAGTTGCAACGACAGACAACGACGGCGCAGACTACTTACCAGAATACATACCTTAATACTCGGTAGCAACAACCCCGCTTGGTCGACTTTCCCATTGCAGCCACCTGCAGACGACCCCAACCTAGAATCCGGATAATCAGTGGCTTAGTTCCGTGTTGCCTGGGGCTACTACTCTAACAGCTGAATTAAGTGTATTTATCGCTGGATACGGGAGGGACTCCCCACTAATGAGACTGTCAGAAATGCGGACTAAGATTGAGCATGATCCTACCCAGCTGGCTAGCGCGGAATATAGCACTGGATATCTACCGTTTTGACCGTGGTGTACCAATGATGCTGGGTATTATCTTTGTAAAGGTCATCTGACAGACGGAAGCAGTATGGTATTTCTTTAATAATTGATGGGCAAAAGTACAAGTGCTTGTTGTTGGTTGTTGTCCACCCTGGATAAACACGGTCGATCTTATCTCGGCGCCGAACGGAGTACATCGCGATGGTTTCAGCTTGAGTTTTTGACAGGTGTGTATACAAGGTTTCCATGACAGGTGTCGTGGAGCATAATATATCCAAATTGGATTGTGTCATTTATATTGGCTTAATCATCGAACTAAATAGATCATTTCTGTCAAGTTATTGAGCTAGAAATGAAATCCAGCAAGTTGCCTGGATGCCTCGTTCTCGTCCGGGACTCGGAATCTGCGGCGCATGTTCCTTGATTTGGATGAATCCGCTTCGGATAGAATTGGATAGACGTTGTCGACTCTAGGGATGCCTCGAATCTTCCACGACCTGATCATGCGGCATTGGCAGTGTTATTTCCACTGAAGAGAGGTGGTATATAGAATGTTGTATATTGGATCATTGGTTGAAGAGAAGAATAGACCTCGGGCCCATGGCAAACTAATTATGACAGCGTCATTGTAGTACTCCACACTTTGTTTCCCCGGATCTTATACGCTTCTTCTCATTCAAAGAGTCAAGACTCTAGTGCTGCACCCCATGCTCCCACTTTACTGGGATTATGACCCATCTTTTCGTATCCGGTCTTACCAGTCAGGATTCTCTCCTAAGCAAGACTTTAAAGTTTGACAGTGCGCACTCACCGCTGGCCTACAAACATCACCACAGGTATCTAAGTAGATGTCTTAATGGTTCTCTGTAAGTTAGTAGCGTCCCAAATACCGAGTTCGCCGGGTTGAATGAGGGTAAGGCACAGGCCATTGGATGGTATCGCCTACCGTCGTAGGTAGTCTATGACTGATAGACTCTCCAAGCAAGGTACCCAGGACTACCTTAATGACAGTTGCCTCTGACCTCGGCCCTATCATGTGTCTGACGTTCCTGGATCGATCTGGAATGATGCAAGGAACATGAACGCTTTGTTTCTTGCTTGTCTACGAGCCAGAAGCCAGGTGTAAGCAGCACATCACATGACTACCATATTTGTATGAATCACGTATGAATCACCATGATGTCGACCTATCTCGTCATAATGAGTTATTTCTACCATTCTGTGCTTTTGTTTTCTTTTCTAGCGGCTATGTAACTAGGTACAGACTAACATAATTTTGACTTCGGACTGGCATTGAGCCGCCATAACCGCATCGGGCGAATTTACGTCTACTCGGCACGAGAAATGATCTCCTCCTCGTTTTCGTGTCCGCGATCGCAGTGGTTGTTTAGTTTGGTCATTAGTCACACAAAAATTGAAAAGTCTCTGATGATTTGGATGGCCATCACTGTTGCATTTTGATAAAAAGGGCGATTGAGGTTCGGCTATTAAGCATGCTATTGTATATTTGCATACCTGCCCGCCAAAATATATCACGAGCAGATACATCTATGGCTTAACAGGGAGCTCGAAGACAGATTACTCTCTGCAACTAAGAGCAATTGAGCATTTGGCAGTTCCTCAGGAAAAATATCAGATATTCATACCCCGAGTGTTGCTGATTTACTGCCTAGGACCAAGTAACTTTGCAACATAGCATCGACAGGTGCAAATAGACTGGGATATTTACATCATAGAGTCTATGAGGGCTTTGAATTGACCATGGCATTGTACTCCTGGCACATGATTGACCGTTGGGCCTGAACTTACCCCACAAACATGGAAGAACTAGTAGTGATGATCTCGATACTCATTTTGTCAAATGCTCCTCGATAGACATGTCATAGATTAAAACAATGACCGCGACACTGAGTTTAAGCTTTCCATAACAATCAAGGTAAATATTCTGTGGCGTTAAAAGGCCAAGTCTACAACCTTCGAGAACTTACCCTTCGACAACCCGAGCAGTTGGAATCAAATCATGATACATCAAGCACAGTACGCCATATGGGGGTACTGGATACAGTATGGATGATTGACACCGCTCAATTCTGAAACTGGTTGACTGACATGATCGCCCGCCGCACGGGATACTTACTCGCAAAAGCACGAATAAAACTGCGTGACGCGCCCGTCGATCGCGCGACAACTCCTTACGTGGATCTGCGGCCATATTTCTAACTATGCTGTATGTGGAGGGGGGATTGCGTGGGTCTTGTAGCAAAATATCAATTTAGCGGACCTAGCGGTGGGTAGCTTGGCCTGGAGATAAGGATTATCGGGGTGATGTGTGCTGGTTGATCATAATCAGACACTTTCGATGATAATTGAATTTTATTCATCTGGTCTATGCTTGTGCTATGAGCGTTAGTACTCTGTAACAGAATTTCTGGAGTGGTAATCTACTTATGAGACAGGGGTGGGTGCGCTTTGGTCTGAAACATGATCCAGTCAAGCATAGTTTAAAAGTTTTCATCGGTTTATTCTTATCAAATGTCTCAGATACTTCGGAGTATGGATTCACAGTCCGCAAAAAAATTGATGGGATTGAAGGTTCGAATCATATCGGCAATACTGCGCACTACCTTAGACCACCCGTTCCGTTGTATGAGACATGAGTCCTCCAGATGCCAGTGTACACCTGCGGGAGATGGTATATGCATCTTTGCCTATGGAGTACAGACAAACATGTTATGTAATTATCCAAGCAAGCACAAGGCCATTTATTGTGTGGATCAAGTCAAGACATGCCGTGTTAGTGATGGCGCTATCTGCATATGGATGTAGGTGAGTTTCAACATTCCTCATATTAATATTATTCGCGATGACTTGCCCATCAAGCATCTTACTAGACTGATATAAGGTGTTTTGTACCCCGTATGAGATGGGTCTTGAGGATCAGAGGGAACGGCAGATCTGAAACTTGATGGATCTGAATCTGATGGTTGAGAGGACAGTGCCAGCCCAACAGGTCAGAAATCAGATCTGGTATGGCATACTTGCATCACACATGCAGTCATACGAGTTCGAAGTGGGGAGTATGCTTCTGCTAGCTGTCAGCTCTCAGCCCCTCAGCCTCATCAATAGCCTTCCTGAGACTTGAGATCCATCCGATTGATTCATGTTCATCGGGCTCCAAACTTTCCCAGCTTTCTGTCAACAATCAGTAATCTTGGAATCAACAGCAGCATATCGCCTTTGTAGTGATTGGAAAATTATGTACGGAGACCTCCAGTGCACTTCCAGTCCGTATCAAGATGACTGACATCATTGAGCACATTCTCTGGTAACTTCTCCCTGCCAAAATAATGT